TCTCCATTAGGCATGGAGGATGCCACGTGTCATGACATAATAGGTCCAGGGTGGACAAATAGACGTGTGCCACGTGGCAAACCCTGACAGTTCCAAATGGGGGACACTTGGCAGGACCTGATTGGCCCACATGGCGCATTCCGATTGGTGGGAGCAAAATCCCCTAATCAATATGTATATATATATATATATATATATATATATATATATATATATATATATATATATATATATATATATATATATATATATATATATGTATGTATATTTATATATATATATGTATGTATATATATATATATACATATATATATATATAAGGTCAAATAAGAAGGGTCTTATAATGAGAAGAATGAGAAGTAATCTGATCCATTCAAATAAAAAGATTAAATGGCTCTCATTATATGCTTTATTAATGGCAAAAATGTAAATATCCTTTTTTTACTTCCCTTTTATTTTCTCCATTTCTCTACTTCTCCCTCTTCCTTGTTCATATCTCTTCCCCATTTTTTTTTTCTCTTTGAGTTTAGAAGATGCTCTAAAATGAATGCCAGGGGAATCAAGTAAAAGTGAACATTGTATATTCTTAATTTTTTAAACTAAATTTGCATTATTCTTGTAAAATTTGTGCACGTTCTTAAACGAATTTGTGCATATATATTTATTGAGTTAAATGTGCAAATTTTTTGTACTAAACGTGCAAATATTTCCAGTTATATGTGCATATTGCTAGCTGAACATTTTCCAGATGACGTCGTTTGTCGATTAATCCTTATGGTTAGGTTTACCAGTTATTCATGACCACTGTTATTTTCTCATCTATAAAGTTATAAGTAGAGTTAGATCTATGAATAAGTATTGATGGAGGAGATAAATAATTCAACACAACGAAGAGGAAAAACAATGAAAAAAGGAAAGTGAAAAATGAATATGCATAAATTTTGACTCAAACTTGCATATTTTTCAGGAGAGAGAAAGAGAGGAAAAAGAATGTAGATGAATCTATAGAAGAGAGATGTCGGGGATTTTCGAACTGGAAAATAAAAGGTTAAAGATATCATATAAAAATTGGAAAATAAAATGTGCATAATTTTTGAACAAATTGTGCAGGATTTTAAGACAAAATGTGCATAATTTTACAAAGATGAAATTTGATCATTGGATTAAATACATGGTCAAGATTCAATTATATATATATATATATATATATATATATATATATATATATATATATATATATATATATATATATATATATATATATATATATGGGTGAAAGTTCAGTTTGCGGAATTCAATCCGAATTAACTCAATTTTGGATTTCTATAACCGAATTAAGATTCGATTCAATCCAAACAAAACCGAATTAATTAGGTTTTTCTAATTAGAATCCAATTCAAATCGAAGTTTGATCCCTTCTTTCGCAAAATTCAAACCCGAAACCCGAACTTCACTTAGAAAATTCATGCAATCATTCAACCTTTTCTTGTTAAATACATTCGAGAGAGTGAGATACTATGAAAGGAGAATTGAGAATTAGGGTTTTATTTTAGTTTATATATGAAAGGGGAAAGGGGTTGGGATACTTTGTAACAGAAAATGGGCTTAATGTAATGGGTCGAAAGTTCGGTTTGTAGTTTGTTTTTCAGATTTTTTAAACCCCAAATCGAATCCAAACCGTAATCCATATATTTAATATTTTCAAACCGATCCAATCCGAATTAAAAAAAAAAAAAAAAATCTAAACCGAATTACTAATTCAGTTTGATTTTTGATTCAATTTGATTTTAATCCAAATTACTTTCACCCCCTAGTTTTATGTTCCGCACTTCCCCTTTAATAGCCACCACACACATTCTATCTCTCTATGTCCTCCGTCTCACTCACACGGCCGTTGGCCACAGCGCGAGTCCGCTTCATCTCTCCATCATCTCACTCACACGGTCGTCGGCCACCACACGAGAGAATAGCCTTCATCAACCCAAAAAATCGAAGCAGCACAAGATCTCACGCTGGGCACTGCAATGACAACCGTGCGTAAAAGATCTAGCCATCGTATACAACATGATGGGTCTAAGTTCAAATTTGATTTTGAAAGAAGATGTTCATTTTTAATTGTTAACAGTGTTTGCCTACTTTAAAGTATTGCAATGTAACTTTGCAAGTAATCTTCATTTTTTTTTTGGATTTTAGACTTATGTGATAGTTAATAATTGTGGTTTAAAGTGGAAAATTATAAATTGTTGTAATTCTGCGAGCCATTTCCACAGATAATGTTAGAAGAGAATAAAATTCCATAAATACGCTACATTTTAATAAAATTTCTGGCGTACCGTCTACGTCATCTTTTGTAAACTTGATTTTTTTTTTAAATAAAAAGCTTGGAACCGCTAATTGTTCATTAAACTAAACCGCTAATTCAATAAGCGGTTTATTTTTTCACCCATTTACTCGAGCAAGCCAATCAATATTACTGTACATAAAACCGCTTATTCAATTAGCGGTTTTACATCATATGAAACCGCTAATTCAATTAGTAGTTTTGTTTTAAATTTGGCAAAAAAAATAATAATAATTACACTTGCTGATGTGGAAGGTACATCAGCGTATTTATGGAATTTTGTTCTCTTCTCACATTATCTATGAAAATCGCTCGAATTCTGCTTGTTTTAATTTTTAATTTGTTTTATTTTTGTAAATTATTTTGATTTAATTAATTATATTTTTGTATAATGAGTCTTATATAAAGTTAAGCAATAAATACATGAAAGTGATGAAACAATGGAAAACAACAAGTTTTTGAAGAAACAAAACTTGTGAGTTAATTAGTCCGGGTACCCTATGACCCGAGTGACAAACTACGCGAATATCCGGGTCCCGCTTTTTGGGTACCCGGATTTGAACACCCCTAGCTAGCACCAACCTTTTGATTGATGGTAAGCCCCTAATTCCTTGTTTTTTAATTAGTTTTTGTTTTATGCTTATAATAAATTTCCATTCTCTCTCTATTAGAGAGTTATTATACCCAACTTTTCGGTTATATCTAGCCGTATATCGTGTTTGCTTTCTCTCCTTATGAGAGTTTGGGGATATATTTTTTTAATTTTGTAAGAAAAATTGATTTTTTGATGAGGATTTGTGTATTGCCGCGACAATGTTCATTTCTACATCTATGATCAATTGCATTAAATCTTGTTTGATTTAAAAACTACAATAGATCGCAAGACCTTATCGTGGAAGGGTGTATTAGACAACGATATGAAAAAGGGTATTTATCAATGTCAGAATTCATCTCCAACGATCATGGTTAGATTTTTCCCATCCAATTAGAATATTATTTGATCCAATTTATATTGTATTTGCTAGCTTTGATCTTTATTATAGATGTCGTATGACTTTTCATCAATAAATTAATTTGATGGGAAATTCTACGTAGTGACCTCTACTATTGCGTTTTCTAAGTTGTGCCTCCTTGTAGACACTTGATTGTGTCTCCCCAAAAACCAAACCCAGTGATGAGTACCTTTCATGTCTTTGATTATCGAGTTAGGTGAAGAGTTGAAGAGTCTCGTGCATTCCCTTTAGCCTTAACCATTTATAACCTTTCCTTAAATGTTTTAAGCCAAAATCATTTATTTCGTGCCCTTAAACCCAAAATCATTCATTTCGTGTCTCTTAAAATCATTCATTTCATGTCCTCTTTATAAAATCGTCCAAACTAGTTTATTTTGTTCCATAATCCTGGTCCAATATATTGGCCCAAATCCGACTTATAACGAAGAAATTATGACCAAAATACTAAACCGAGCCCAAACTGAGCTTTACCTGTGACTCAATGACCATGTGGAGGGTCCATTAACCTTAACATCATTTCTAAACCAATTAGGATTTGTTGCAAGTTTCTAGAATCTTCTAGAAGGTTGTTTTCAATGCTAAATCCATTAGGATTTATTATTAGCTTCTACAATCTTCTAAAAGGTTTTAGTTTATCCTGTTTTTGAAAAGATAAAAATCGGCTTAAGAATTTTATATCAGATAAAACACTTGTTTTTCAATGATTTTAATATTGATAAAATTAGAATACGTACGGAAATTTGATTAACCCAATTTGATTGGAAGTCGGATTCCGTACGGATTTTGTCTTCTAAAAAATATTGATGAGCGATAGAAATATCACGTCGTGATAAGCCCATCGCGCTGCGATAGCGCCTGTTTGACTCCGAGTCGAATTCTGACTCTTTTCTGATTGACCCTCTTTTTTCCCTATAAATAAAGGTCGTTTTCCCCCGTTTTCAACAATCAACAAGCTTGGTCACCAACAATCATTATCTAATCCCCTCTTTAAGCTATAAGCTTATTCTCTCTCTTTCTTGTTTTTCTTAGCCTAGCCTAAACACATCCTAACATCTTCTTGATATCATACATCATACTTCCTTCACGAGCTTCGAATACTCCAAGCCAATCTCGAAGTTGCCTTTGACCTCGACGTGAAAGGTTGATAGTTTTGAGGGTTTGGTCCCAAATCTTTATTTCAATTCTTATTTGATTTATTTATTTTATTTAATCTTTCTTGAAGTTACTAACGTGTGTATTGTTTTGATAAAAAGAGATACGAGGCATCAAAGTGAGTATTTTGATCTCCTTAATATTTATTATTTTGATTCCTAGTATCATGTTAGGATGTTTTTTTGATTCCTAGTATCATATTTCGTCAATTGTAGCGCGCCCAAATCTCCCTTTTTGCAGCGTTTTCGTGCGCTGCATATGTGAGCGATGCAATTACCGGATATTATTTGCAGCGCGCATAAAACGCTGCAAAAATGACTATTTGCAGCGTGCCTAACCCTGTGCGCTGCAAAAAAGTTGAATTATTTCCAGCTTGCACAAGCTGGGTGCGCTGCAAATAATTAGATTATTTGCAGCGCACTTTACCTAGGAGCGCTGCAAATAGTCCTCTTTTTTTTTGGGTATTTCTCCCTTAATTTAAATAGGACAAACAGAAACAAAAGTAACAAAAAACAAATAGAAATAATTATGATGATTTTATTAAAACAAAGCCAAAAATCAAGGTCATTACAAACAACCCCATGTAAATCATGGGGTACTCCATCCTCTAACCAAACATGAAAACCATTAAAATTTCAACTTGAAGTTGTCAGTTTCCAACACAAAGCGGAAACCATCAAAATCCAACTGACTAAAAATTACTCCATTTGACTTGGAAATATGAAAGAAAAAAACAAACATGAATGAATATTGCTGCCAACTGTTGGTGCTGTTGTTGTGGTGGTTGCTGCTCCTGATGTTGCTGTTGTTGTGGCAGTGGCTGCTGCTCTTTGATCATCAGTACTAATATGATACTACTGCTGCATCTAATTAACACCAGAGGACGAACCCGAGTTAGGATAACCAGGCGGAATCATAGGCATGCCAATTTACTTGTCCTCTTACAGCTTCCATTTCATTACTCTTTGCTAGCTTGTCATACTTAATCGAGCATGAAGAATTTTCTCCTATAAGTTCTGCTAGAGAAACTGAAGATCACTATGCTGTTGAATTACGAAATACACAATCATTGGTATTTACTTGTTCTAGTGATTTTTGATGAGCATCCATTTGTCTGACAAGTTCACCATCTGGGTCTGTAATCGAATCTTCCTGATTGAACAATTCTTCCATCTTTCATCACCTATGCAAATGTAAGAAAAAAATAAGCTTTAAAATCGATCAACAAAAAGGTCGAGTTACTAGCTGACTGACAGTACAATTACCAGAACAACAGCTGATGTGTATCTAAAATGTTACTGTCACACAAGTTTTCTGTCTTATCAAGTTCTGAGAGCACATCTTGTCCTAGGGATTCATATAAATAGCTAATACATCCAGTCAAGTATCAAAATTTAACTTCAGAGTTCCACGATTCAGTAAATAATTCTGGCAAGCATGTCACAATAAGATAAGAAATTAAGGTGCATTCCTCTTGTAAAAACCTATGGATTCTTTTTAATGGGCATGGGAAGAGTGGACGAGTTCTCATGGAATAGTGACACTTTAATATGGGGTTATAACAACCCTAAGTCAATAGCAGTCCAATCACATGATTGAGTAAAATTGAGCTAGAATACAATGGCAGGTATGTGACTATGCATTCTCATACTACTCTGACAAGATATAAAATTCAACGTGAAAGCCTAACATAATTAACCAATCTATTCAATATATACATCTAGTAGCACACCAAAATCTGTCTCGGATAATCCATTAAGACAAGGTCATAACTCCAAAAATAGCATATCAAATCTTATTAATTTCAATATAAATTTACTCCCTTCTTCCTTCATTAGTAAGTGTCACTAGATCACCACAAAGGCCACGAATTTAGTGTACTAACACAATTACAACAGGACAAATATGATACAAGTGTAGAAGCTGGGTAATCTTCATAACAGTGATTCCTGTTATCTTAATTGGAGTGATGGGCTGCATATAAAAGCCAAAATGTAAAATAATTACTAGAAAATGCTGAAAACTGAGAAAACTAATGTTTTAGTCAAATAGGAAATAACTTTGATACCTGTCTATGACCAATATTTCGTCTGTAGTTCTTATATTTGAAGACAATAGCTTTGTCATCAAGCAACTGCAAGAGCAACACCAGTAATGTTGATGATTTCATGGTTTCATTGGTGATTAAACGGTGGAAGCAAATAAAAGAAGACATTAGGCTACCTGTTCTACAACAGCATTTACTGAAGCATTTGTCACGATGGGCATTCCTATACAGGTGCTAGATTTAGTTCCCACTAGCAAAACTTTGTTCAGAACAATCAGCAATATGGTGGACTTAAGCTTCAGAAAAAAAATATGAAAGTTGATAGTTGTTGAAACTGGAGACCAGGAGGTTACCAGAGGTGCAATTCTTAGAGCAATAGTAAAAGAGACATGAGACAAAGCAGATTTTGATAGAGGCAAATCCTTAAAACCCAAGCTAAAAACATAGTGAGCAACTCAAGGGAGCTTAGAACAAACATTATACAATCAAACATACATATATCAAACATAATAAGTATCTCAAGGGTGCAATGAAGATACGATTCGTGTCCATAATTATCAAAGAGGATATGAGCCAATAACTGATTCGCCTGATAGTTGTCCAAACAATGTTGCCAGAGCGGGCAACTGAACTACCAATGCAATAAACTTTAGTGAAATAGCTTCTGAGCAAAATACACAATAGTACATTTCATTAAGAGAAATGTGTTGCAATAAGTAAGAAAATTATTACTACTCCATAATACTCAGTATTCGATAATTGGGCAGACTATTGACTATTGACAATTCTTCTATAGTATTCATTTGCTATAAACATCCTACATGCAGCAAACAAATGGGAAATCGGGTATATACCCAATCAATGTACAGAGAATATAAATTAATTAAATTTTCACTCAAAATTCCATTTATCCAACTCAAAATCAGAAACTAGGGAACACAATTCCAACGGTTTAAACCGCAATTAAAGCATACATATATCAAACAAGCTTAACCATAAATCCCAAAGTGACAATCTTTCAGTGAAACAATGGACTACAGTTTCAATCAAAACCCAGATAAATTCAAATGCTGTCTGAACTTCTAAAGGAACCCCACCTGCTAGAATGTAAATTAATGCATAAAGCAACTTACAACGACATCTTTACGGCATTTATGAGGACAGAATGATAAAGGGGCACACTGGAGCCCTTGCAGGTCGTTGGAGAAGAACAGAGAGAAGCAGCAGCCGAGGAAGAACAGGGCCGCCATTGATGATTGAGGTTGAGCTTCGTGGATAAAGAGGTGTGTAAATTAGATCGAAAACAATAATTATATCGAAAATTAAACCACAAAACATAGAAAATGTAAATTAGAACCAAAATTTAATCAAATGAACCCTAGATCTAAACAAATTAAGCATTACAATTTAATAATTGATACCTAAAGAACCCTAAGTTCAAATAATCAACAATAATAATCGAGAATTTTAGGGTTTAACGTCAAATTTCTCACAAAAACAGCTTGAAATTGCAAAAATGAAAGGAAAAAAAAAGGATAGATCTAGAAAAAGAATCGAGAAATACCTGAAAACCGAGCTTCCAAGAAACATTTACGACCATGAGGTACCACGAACAACTTGGACTTCGTCTTCTTTTTTGCGCACAAGCATTGATCGGACGTTGCCGGAGAGTGGAGCACTCATAATCACACGACGGACGCTCGACGACGACATGAAGTGAGCCTTGAGACTTGGGTTGTGCTTCATCTTCTCTCTCTTCTGGGGTTAGGGTTTTCTGCAAGGGAGCGGCGATTGGCGAAGACGAGGTCGCGTGTGTTCTAAAAATGAAATGAAATCATTGAAATAAAGGAATAAAAAAAGTTCATTTATTATTTTTGTAAAATACTTGTATTTTTTGCAGCGCCCCATATGGGAAACGTTGCAAATAAATCTTTTGCAGCGCTCAAAACTAGGAAACGCTGCAATAAACCATGTTATTTGCAGCTTGCTTTACTTGGGTGTGCTGCAAATAATCCTCTTAAAAAAATTCTCAATTTTTTGCAGCGCTTTTTAGCAAAAAACCCTGCTATTAATTCATTAAAGATTTGACCCGCGTTGAATAATTATTATTTGCAACATTTTGTACATAGGTTTGTTGCAAATAGTGCGTTGTAAATGACGTTTTTTCCACTAGTATCATGTTTGGGTTAAAGATTTGATCTTTATTTATTAGTGACATGATAGGATTTGTTATTAATTCGTTTAGTATCATGCCTAGGATCTTGCTAATCATATTTTAATCATATTTTGATGATGTTATTATGGTGATGATGATTATTGTGTCAATAATCATATGTTGCTTGATTATTCATAGTTTATTGTTATTGCTTGATCACGCCCTTTCTTGCAGGTTTAAATAGAATTTGTACTTGAAATCATGCCTAATAAGATAATTAATAATTTTATTTTAGGCTAATATGGTTTTAACTCAAGTGATCGCCAATAATAGATTTAATTGTGCATTAATAATCAACCAATGTAGATTACATATGCTTAGGATTAATTTATTGTATGTATGTTGATCGAAAAGCGCACATGAATATCATAAGAATTAGGTAGAGGCCGGTTTAGGGCGGGTTCAGTCTCTTTTAGGTTGGACTCGTACCATCATCCCTGAATATCAAGTCATGGTTCCGGACCATTATGGAGTTAGCGATCTCCTTGATCGTGAATGGGGTGTAACCTTCACACCTGTGAACGGTTTACAAGTTCTTAAAACTTGTTGACGACTCTTTTATCTCTAGCTTCCTTCCTTTTGAATGCCACCATGCCTAAAAGCATGATCACAGTGGGGCTCAAAATTGACTGTTTGAAAAATTCCCTACACTCCTCTTTTTGAAAGTTACACTTTGTAACTCTCTGGTAAAATTAGTAACTACTCCCTTTGTATTTTATTACTTGCTCCACTTTCCTTTTGCAGCCATATTTTATTACTTGCTCTATTTCATTTTTTGGAAATCTTTCACAATATTTTACTAATTTCTTCTCTTCTAGTGCGTGGATCCCCAACTATCATACTTTGATATTTCCATATTCTCTCTCCTCCTAACTTTTTTTTTGAAACCACCTGCTGATAATAATATTAATAGAGGTCGATTAGCGCCAAAGTTAAGAGGCTTTGAGGGAAATGACCTAAGCAAATAAGTTCATTACATCCTCTTGATTCCCACCTTGAAACATGGTGAGCTAAAGTATTTCACGCATGTTTAACATGAGACATAAAAAAACAACGAAAGGCCGGGATAGATTACAAATATCATCAACAATCTAAGAACAAGGAGTAAAGTCAACTGCATTCTTCTTGACACCTTGCACAACACTGGACACATCACTCTCAATTATAACCGAGAACCCAAGCTTAGCAGCCACTTGTAGCCCACAACGACATGCAATGGCTTCAACAAGGTGAGGTGGCCAACTTGCCTTCTTCTTCCGTACAGCAACAACCAGAATTTTGGCCACCTTGTCCCTAATGACCACCCCAAGGCTTGTCAGATTCCCCACATGTGCATCACAATTCACCTTGACCACCCCCATATTAGGACAACTTCATCAGGAGCTAGTAGAGGGTGGTCCTTGTGTTCCATGTCGCAAGAATACCTTATTAGCATATTCTCCATACTCATGGACAAACTTTGATAGGTTTGACACTGCACTAATGGGACATAAGCTTGCATTCTAAAATATAATCTTGTTCTGGCACCACCAAGCAGCTAAGTATAGCCATAGCTCTCAACTCCTCACTTGTAGCCCTGGACGCCAACCATAACAGTCTGTCCCTAAAGCACGACGTAGGAGCTTGCGATATAATTAGACCTGGAAAATGGGTCGTTCGAGTCGGGTCATTTCGGGTCGGATCAAATTCGAGTCAACAGATATTCGGGTCGAATTTGGGTCGGGCTGTTTCGCGTTTCGAGTCAAGTTCGGGTCAACAATTCGGGTCGCCTTTGGGTCAGGTCAAGTTCGGGTTGGGTCGTTTTGGGTCGGGTCAATTTTTGGGTCCATATATTGGGTCAAGTTCGGGTCGGGTCAACCCGGATGCCTAAATAAACAAATTAGACCGGATTCAGACCCTTAAGATGTGAGTCAGATTCAGACTCGGACTCGGGTCAATCAAATTCAGATTTGGATCTGGATTCAGACCTAAGTCCACGATCCGAATATTAAACGGATCGGATTCGGATTTAGCCACCTGTAACTTGAATCCGATCCGTTGCCATTCCTAATTGCGTTTATTTTCTGTTTAGGTCAACTTGGGTCAAGTATTTAGCTTAAATTTGTTCAGGTCATTTCAAGTATAAGGTAATTTTAGTTCGTGTCACTTGAGTTTCGGGTCTGTTTGTGTAACACCCCAAATCTCCCTCTACGGAAATACCAGTATAATACATATAATTATACCGTAGAGATAGACTTAGGCGTATTACTGCCGCGTGGTTACGCAAGGCTACTCCAACTACTAATTAAAACCATAACTTCGCAGCGGAAAATCAAACTCTTCTTTATTAATACTTAAATAAAATAGTAGCCATTGTCATGAGTCCTCAAAAATAGAAACAAAGACCAACATTCCGAAACAAGGTGAAGCAAATCTCGGGACTCCCAAAATGCTCATTTATTGACTCCACCTGAAATTAGTCAACATTGCTTAGCATTAGAGTAAACAGGGTGAACTAAAACAAATAGGAATACGGATTAACAAAATATGCTAAGTAGGATAAGTGCAAGATAAGTAAGCTCAATTTATTGGCAAACATGCTTTTAAAACCAGTTCCAATAATTAATCCAAAAATTCTAAAACTCATGATTCAAAACCAATTCTCAATATTCTAAAAAATAATTCCAATAACTCAATACTCAAAATTCAATAAATATCAATATAGTTTTCAAAGCATTGAAAATCCATTCCTTTAATTTATTCCAATTTCCTCTCCTAAGTGTGCACACCCCCCAATCTTTATATTGAAAGGCTATCCTTGAGGAAAGACTAGATCATACAAAGTTCATAGTCTTATCAACCAAATCTGGATAATGGGATTAATATAATAAACATGCTTGTAAATCTTTTTAATAAATAATTCAATAACTCCTCATTAAATCAATAATCTCAATCTTTATCATAAATCAACTCAAAACTCCTTTTTATTTAATTCACATACATTCAAAATCAAAACCTTTTTAAACATGCTAAATATTTTTATTACTCAAAACATGATGTCAAAATCAATCCTTTAATTTATTTATTAAAACTAATTTCCACTTCATAATCACAATTCAAAACAATTTAATGCAATCATCAAAGAAATCAAATAAACTATGCTTATTTAATTCAATTAATTTCAAAGGTATTTAGCCACCTAACATACCTTGATCCTTGCTTTAGCAAACACACAGAAAGGGACCTCAATTCAAGAATTCTTGTCAAAAATACCCTACAATTAAATATAACCTTAATCAATATAAGGTCAACAAATAATCACAACAATTAAAATAAAACTCCCAACTATATGTACATGAACCTTATTAAATTCTTTTTCATAAACTTGAATAATAAACTGATTTTATTTAATTAAATACACTCATAATAATTTTTTATAATAATAATAATAATAATAATAATAATAATAATAATAATAATTAGGAGAAGAGAAGAAAAATAGAAAATCGAGAAGAGGAGGAAGAAGGAGGCACAACAAGGAGCAGCAGCACGCCGGCAGGTGGCTGCTGCTAGTGGTTGGCATCGCGGCTAGCCGGAGCAGGTTGCAGTAAGCGGTGGAGGGTTGTTTGCGGTGGTGGTTGGCGTAAGAGAGTAGAGAAAGAGAAAAGAGAATTAGAGAAAAGAGCTAAAAAATTAAGGTAGGAGAACTATGGTAGCTTTATAGGCTAGTTTATGCAAGAATTATGGTAGGAAAATTTAGGAAGAATTATGGTAATTTTGGCTTAAGGAATTACTTGGAGAAAAGAGCTAAAAAATTAAGGCAAGTTTAGTTTTATGATGATTAAGCAATAAAAAATTATGGTAAGTATGTTATTATGAAAAATACTATGGTAAATAGTTTTGCTTGGGGAATAATCAAAAATGGATTTAAGGTAAATAAATAAGGTGGTCAAATCTTCATGAGATGGGAAATAAGAATTAAGGAAAGTATTAGAAATTAAGAAAGATAATTAAAATAAAAAACTACCAAAATAAATTGCCCAAAAATCACCCAAGGTGGCCAAAATTTTTGAGCTTTCCTAAGCTCTAATTTTAGGCCTTCTTGATTAGATTTTAGGAATTTATTTTCTAGATTTTAAGGATTAAAAATAATTGTGTAAATAATATATTTTGTATAAAATAAGTAAATAGGAAAATACCAATTATTCACTAATTAATTTCACTAAGAAAATCAGATTTTAATTACCAAAAAATTCCAAAAATTCCTAGTTAATTATTTAGTAAATTCGGCTCTTTTAATTAAATAATAAAATATAATTTTGCTTAAATAAAATATCCAATATATATATATATATATATATATATATATATATATATATATATATATATATATATATATATAATCTGGATTTAAAAATAAAACATATGGATAATAAATCTTATCCAAAATTCAAAAATATTAATTAAGTTTTAAAATGCTTTTGGCGCCAAAATTCAAATAATAAAATAAATTACTAAAATACCCTTTTTAGAAAATATTAATTAATTAAGTAGAAAATATGTTTCAAAAATACGAGGAATCACAGTTTGAGTCAATAAATTCAAGTTAATTAAGGTCGGGTCACTTCGGTCGG